CCCTGTCCCCTGTTCCTCTTCCTCATCTGGTCTGTTGGCATCCACCTATAACATTCCTTCTCGGCCCCAGCCAGCCGTAGCTTTTCACTAAGTACCATTTGCCTTTCCCTCAGTCTCAGCCTCCTTTGGTACTGTCCCTCATGTCACTTACCTCAGTTAGATGCTATTGTCGTGCCCTTCTCTATCATCTTTATCAAGGTTACATATTCATACCTCAGAGTCATCACCTAACCCTGCATCTAGAAGTAAATGCCTCAGTGGAGGGATTCTGTTCTCTTGTTCATAAGGTATCGTTATTAATGACCACAGAAAGGGAGTGGGTTCTGAAGAAATACTTCCTGATTGAAATCACACACACACACACACACACACACACACACACACCCCACAAGAAAGTTACTTTAATTTCACATTACTCTGTTTTCTGTGTCTCAAGTAATATGCATTGGGGAAAAGCCCATTACTGACCTTTGATCCTTCATCAATGACTTTATATCCTCAATAAGTCAAGCATGAAGTTGTTTCTCTGCTACCTCTTATTTTACTAAATTCACTGAAAATAAGGATGAGTAATAAGAGGAAGGAGGAGAAAGGAAACCTGAGTGAAAAGATAGGTATCAAATAGGCAACTTTACAAATCTTCTCTTTAATGATTAGTTTTGATTGGTGTTTACGTATTCCCCTGAAAACTGCCTTTATAAATGCTAGATGGTTATAGTCAGACTGGGGTTTGAAGACAGAAAAAGCAAGCTGCTATAATGCTAGGCACACCCAACGTTCCATCAGCACAAACAACATACTGACCTCTGGTGTTTTTCATCAGTAGCTAAGATTATTCTCAGCGAGGAAATAAACTCTTTTTTTTAGGAGGTTTAGCTATTTTCAGAGTATTAGAAAAACTTTGAAAAATTCTCCATGCCATTCTTAAATGCATTTAAGTATAGGTTCCCTCAATCCACTTGGATTATTGTAGTAGGACAAAGATGTAAAGATGGAACTGCTTACCATGCTAAATATTGTAAAGGAAAATGATAATATTAAAAACCCCAGGAGCAAAAATCAGAGATCTGCTTTATTTTCTTAGGGGAGAGAAATGTAATATCTCTAGAAAATACAATCAAGATCAGAAGTTGAAATTCTAAAGCAAACAAACAAAACAAAGGCATAAAATCTGCCAGGAGGGACATAAACTGTTAAACTTGTTTACAACATTATATAGAAAATGAGTAAAATTTAAGTTGAAAAAATGGGCTAAGTGGATAAACCAATGAGGGCTTTGTGGTAGTAAAATTTGTTTCTATTTTATGAAAAAAAAGTTGTGTTAGTATTTCGAATCATATATCTTCACGTTCTATTTGTCTTATTCATTGGTCACATGAATAACTATGAATATGTATAAAATTTGAAGTAAATCTGTTAGGAAAAAGCATCTGCTACCAGCACCATTTTGTTATTTTACTCTTAGTTATTAAATTTAGGTTTGCACCCTTATCTATAGTTTTGTCTTTTTACTTTTCTATAAAAGTCATATATTATCTCTTGTCTTCTCTTGAACTCTTCAAATACTGCTGATGGAAATTAAGTTAGGCCTTTTGTAATCATCCTATTTAAAATTGCAACCTGCCCCTCTCAATCCGGGTCCCCTTTAGCCTGTTCTAATTTGTTTCCATTGCATATAATATCATTGATGTATTTATTGTGGAAATTATTTTGCTGTCTTCCCCTACATAAGGGTGTGGATCATCATTCATTTTGTTCTGTGATGTATGTCAACCAACCAAAAAATCACCTGTCATGTATTAGGCACTGAAGTAATGATTAATGAATTAATAAATAAAATAATTAATGCATAATACTAATTGCTAAAATTTCTAAGTACCGTACTATGTACTAAGCACTGTTCTAATTACAACGTAAGTGTAAAAATTAGTCTTCAAAACATCCCTGTGAGGTCAGTGCTATTATAATCCCATTATATAACTGAGGCACATAGAAGTTAAACAGTTTGATAGTTGCTGACATTAACAACTAGCTTATATGGCTAATAGCTATATGGCTAAAAAGTGGCACACTCCAGATACTGACATAGGCATTTACGTTTCCCAGGCACTGTTATGCTAAACTGCCTTTAGTTTATACACAAAGCCTAATGGAAAAAGTACATGTTCTCATAAATAACTAGATCTGGTCCTTTTTAATGTCTCTGCACCACTGAAAGATCATGCCTTGAAGATGATGGCTCACTAAGAAAGGCTTCTACCTGGCTGGTGTAGCTCAGTGGATTGAGCTCAGGCTGTGAACCAAAGTGTTGCAGTTTCAATTCCCAGTCAGGGTACATGCCTGGGTTGCAGGCCATGACCCCTGGCAACCGCACACTGATGTTTCTCTCTCTCTCTCTCTCTCTCTCTCTCTCTCTCTCTCCCCCTCTCCCTTCCCTCTCTAAAAGTAAATAAATAAAATCTTAAAAAAAAAAAAGACTTCTAAGGTGAGAGAGGATGCGGGTTGTGGACAATTTTCTATAGGCTCCTGTAAAGGATTGCCTTCCTTCCTGTTCTCTGACATCAAGATTGACAACTTCTACCTCCTTTCACTCTTGAATGTCACCAGTTTCTCCAGATAGTTTCCTGAGTCTAAAATGTGGGTTTGGGGCCTTATCAAATATCTTTCTGACTCCAAATTCTGTGGTTCTAAAGAAGTATATCTATGTTCTGATATATCAAGTAAAGTATTGACAATAGAAAAAAAGAACAAAAAAAAAGCTTTTTCTTATACTTAGTCAATTGACAGTCACCTCCGTAATTTTTAGTTTTTGTTCTGTCAATCAGAAATCTCCATCCCCAGACTGAAATCCATTACTGCATTTCAGACCTTCCTCTAAATCTCAGAGTTTCAGTCGCTTCCTCCTAGGGTGGTGTTCCCTGCCACGCCTCATCCCTTGCAGTTTGCTGGATTGCTCCGTGGAGAGAGAATGAAAATTATGGCAGTGTAAGTTTAAGACTTGATTATCAATAATCTCCATCCTATTCTACTGGCTCTTTAATGTCCCCTTTCACTTTAGGGATATACACACTGTGACCTGGTGCTTCCTGAAGTATCCCTGTTCAGCACTCTTGGCGTTTGGTGCTTACCCAAAGACCAGAGACTGATGTGGACTTAAAGGGACTCATTACTTCAACTTGAATGTAGGGCTGACATTTTCAAAAGCTGTATTTGTCAAAGTTTAATCACTAAAATCTAAACATATTTCTTCTACGTTTAGCATAGACTTAAAGTCAAAATGCCAGTGGCTTTGCTATTTACTATCAGCATGTGCTTGAGCAATTTGCTTAATTCCCTCTACTTCTTATATATGAAAATATTAACTCGGTACCTATCTTCAAATCCTCATAGTGATATTGGTTGCATAAAAGGAACTGAGGTATTTTTTGAGTGCATGGCAGTTATTATTATTTGTGGTCAAAGCCATGTTCCTTGATTACACATGAAGTCAATATTATTTTATAGGATGAGGTTATGTTGAACGCATATAAAGTGAATGATTCTTATTTTCATTTACATGATCAATAACGTTTCAAACCAACTCATTGGTAATGACACAGGAACTGAACAACAAAAATGTTTTTGCAACTAAATATGCAACATAGGTAAGTGCCAGATGTTTTTATAATTAAGATAATCTGAAGTTTTTAATAAGCTATATTACACACAGACTGGTAACAATGCACAATCCCTGTCTTATTTCCTTTATAATAGTACCTTTATTGTTCCACTGAAACATGGCCAGTGAGTGCACAATACTCCAGTTACAATTATGAGGGGCTTGGTATATTACAGCAACTCCACTGTGTCTGCTGTTAGCTAGAAGAGTGCTGGGAGCAACAGCAGCTACTATCAACAGGGAGCCATATTAATTATTTGAAATGTGCCTCATAAGAGGAATCAGCAGTTTATTACAAGTTGAATACTACTTTAAACGGGAAGGTTACTCTAACTGTTATCATAGTCTATGTATCATTAACTTTCCTTGTTTAGGAAAAGAGATTAACAACCCTGTAAATTGCTGTAGTAAATGTGTAAAATATAACTGCATATTCCCATTGTAGAAAGAAAGTAGTGGGTCCTCCAATTCTACTCAAACCTTCTTTATATAAAATAGTTTCAGAAATTGAACTGATTCTGCATTTGTGCTTTCTTGTTATGAAATCCAAATTGCTTGCTGGATCATCATTATACAAACTATAGCTGCTTTGAACGTTAGAAAAAATTGGGGGGTGTTTTATTATACCAGTTGTTTTAATAAGACTCTCATCCTTCAAATCAACTTTAATACTTTAGCTCATAAGACAGAAAGTACATTACAAATACTTATGTGAGCTTGCAGAATGCTTTGTAAGCAAGAGAGAATGACTTCATCTACCTGTTGTTTATATTGTGGTTATTTTTTTCTCATCAAATGTCATAAACAGGAATAGTATTTTATTAAAGAATGTAAGTAAATCATAAAATTAAAAGTTAATTAGGATTGTAAGGTTATTAAAACAAGTACTACTTAAAGTGTTAGTTGAAATTGATGCCAGTCTGCAATGAATAAGTGAAGGAATAAAAAGTGTTTAGAAAAATGTATCACAGATTCATCGAGTATTTAAGGTCTGTTTAATCTAACAATTAAACATTAGGACTTGCATTGTGTATGCCTTTGGTTTTGGTTTTTCCATTTCATTTTTCTTAAATCATTTTAATTGTATTTTTAAGTATCATTCTACAATAAAATTATAATTTAACAACAGCAGCAACACCAACAACAACAACTGAATTGTGTAAGGAAGACTGATTTAATTGGTGGATGTTTGGACAACACAATGCTTCTGTGTTTGGATAGTCCTGTCTGTGCTGTATAGTGGCTATGAATTCAGTGTAGAGAGAGAAAATGTTAATCATCAAACAGAAAAAGTAAAAGGACACAACTGCTAAGCCCCCAATGTTTCTGTTTGGGTCCACAGGACAGGCACATCATGGGCAGGTGTCTTACATCTCTCCACCAGTTCACCTCGACTCTGAGCTAGAAAGACCCCCTGTTAGAGGTAAGTTTCTCTTTTTTGCTTCTTAAGTTAAGGAAAATGGAACTCTATTCTTTGATGAAGGCAATCAATTAAGTTAAAGATAGTGGTAAATGTGTATTTTACTATGTAGAATCTGTTTAAAAAGCAGGGTGTAGTGGTGTGTAAGAAATCTGATGACAGAATGAGTCTTATTTATGAACTACAGTAAAATGTGAAATACGGTTCTGAGAAATGTTTGTAAAGCCAAATAAGAAGTAAGGACGCATAGTGATTCCACTAGTGGAAGCCCAGTTGCAAACCAGCCTAGATTTAGAAATTCGCAGATTACCGTTACATTTTTAATTGGAAATTTCTTCTTATATTATTTTTTTTCATAGATTAAGGTAGCTTAATCTAAGTCATTGTCATATGTATTTCCTTATAAATTTATATTTTTTATTATTCTCTTAAAATGTCATTTTAGTACTAGTAGCCTTTAGTTTTAAAATGTGTAAATTAGCCCTGGCTGGTGTAGCTCAGTGGATTGAGCGTGGGCTGTGGACCAAAATGTTGCAGGTTCGATTCCCAGTCAGGGTACATGCCTGGGTTGCAGGCCATGACCCCCAGCAACTGCATATTGATGTTTTTCTCTCTCTCTCTCTTTTTCTCCCTCCCTTCCCTCTCTAAAAATAAATAAATAAAATCTTTTAAAAAATAAATAAAATGTGTAAATTAAATCATGTAGTTTAAGTGGATACCACCTGTTTAAAGATTTTTTTCAAGAAACTGGTCAAAATAAAAATTAAAATAACATTTATAATTACTATAATCTACATACAGAATTTGTCTTTCTGCTTTTAAGAAATATGTATTGATTTTGAAACATTTTATAATAAAGCTCATGTTATATAGACATGTCTTTCTATTTTATAAATATCAAATATCTTAAGGTTATTTTTACTTTTTAAAGTAATGCACTATATATTCTTATACCTTCAGAAGTATTAATTACTTGATGCAATAAAACCATTAGGTTTGATTTTTATGAGCATGTTTTCTATGCATGCTTTTTCTTCTGCCAGGAGTCTCTTTCTTTTTTAGCTGTTAAGTTTTTACCAGTGCTTCAAGGCTATTGCTTATTATTATTATTATTATTATTATTATTATTATTATTATATTTCATTATTTGTGCTATTATAGTTGTCCCTGTTTTTTTTTTTCCTCTTTGTCCCCCTCCACCCAGCACCTCCTGCCTCACTCAGGCAGTAAATCCCCAAACCATGGTCCCTGTCCATGGGTCATTCATATACGTTCTTTGACTAATCCCTTCATCTTCTTTCATCCAGCCCCACTTCCTTTCCCTCTGACTGCTGTCCTTCTGTCCTCTGTTAAGCTTTTGTGACTCTTTACTAGAGAGGAGCTAAGTAAATGCCTCTGTTCCTCCAGTGCCCCTTGTGCTTGGCTCAGCTTTTACACTTAAGACATTGTATTTCATTGTTCAGTGTGCATGTTTCCCTTTGTCTTCCGTAAGGTCCTTGAGGGTAGAGAATGTCATAATTATTATTTCTCCTCCAGCCACTGGCCTGTGCTTGGCACATAGTAGGCACTCATATGACCATGTCTAAGTGGCTAAAATTAAAAGTGACAACCTAGGTTCTGAAGCATGCACCATCAGTTTTCAAGGAGAAAAGGGAGTGGGGACAAAAGGAGAGTCCTGAGAAGAGAGAGTCAGAGTGAACTAAAACATAAGTGTGTGCACGTCATGGCATTTTTAAGGAGATATGCTAAATGCACAGTAAAATGGGAAAAGTTCTAAAGGAAAAAGACTGGAAAGGTGTAATAGGACAGCTAATGAAAGATTCTGTATCACATGCCAAGGAGTTTGTGTTTTGTCCCAGAAAAAATGATAAAATATTTTTAATTTTTACAAACTTTTCCTAAGTCAGTGGGATGTTACATCATAACAGTATCAGCCCTTGATATGAGAACAGTACCTATGACACCAGAATAGAGGATGAGAGATTGGCAGGGGGAGGCTGTTTCAGTAGGACTGGTAAAAGATGACTGGAAGAGTAGGGCCTGTTGGCAATGGCAGGTCTGGGGAATATTTTGAAGAGGCCGGGGGAAGGAAGAGAAATGCCTCTAAGGTTTTTTTATTGATTAACAGCTTGGATGCTTATGACAGAATCCCTCAGCATGAGGAACAGATGAATTTTAAATTGGTGCATTGTCTTAGATACGTTAATTCTTAGCAGCATGTTGTTCCTGTGAAAGATGGAAGCCTACTTATGCAAGTCGGTGACCTTAATGTAATTCAGTTTTTCAGACATGATCTCAGTATGGTTTGGGAAGAGTACTGTAAAGTTTTGGATAGGATGTGTAATAATCCACTAAAAGTTAGTGGCTTTAAACAAGAAACATTTGCTATAGTTCTCAGAGTTGTTCGAGTCACGTGTATGCTCACTGGGATGTTTAGCAGTTGGCAGGCAGGCTGGTTTTGCAGGGGAGGGAACTCACATGTGGTAGTCAACTGGATGTCATCTGGGCTGAGGACCATATGGCTCTCATTATCCAGCAGCCTCGCGCAGGCATATTCCCATGGTGACAGGATTTTCAGCAATACCTAGGCAAGTCCCAACATTCAGACATTTTCCAGGACTCCACCTGTGCCATGTGTGCTGTGTCTCATTGGCCAAAACAAGTCGGCCAACCCCAGACTTCAGAGAGCAGAAACAGACTCCATTTCACAACCCGAAGGAGCTTGAACACAGAAAGGAAGGAATTTGGGACCATTTCAAACTACCACAATTAGGCAGATAAAGAGTAAAATAAATTGAGAATGAAGTAAAACAAAAAATGACTGATAAAAATGAAAGGATTTAGAGCTAATACACTTAAACTTGGGAGCTCTAGAATTTTCTTTAGTTTACTCAACTAGTATACAGAAGATCAGAAATAAGAACTTCACGTTGACTTTTTGTGAAGATTAAGGGTAACATAGAATAAAGTCTGGCATCTGGTAGGCCCTAGATAAGATGTGACTATTACTATTTAATTTTGAGTTAATGGAGCCAAGCAACCAGCATGACCTTAGAATGATTGTCTTGATACCTTTGAGTTCTCATATCATTTCCCTACTTACACTGGCCCAGAGACCCTCCTAAACTGCACGGTGACTAACAGTATTGCAGCTATAGGCAATAGCTCATGTGGTATAGTTCTACAGTTCAAAAAATAATAATAATTAGATCAAGAGGTTTGTAAAAATCACCAAAATAACAATGCAAAAATCATGTGCTTTTTTCTTAAATATAGTATTTTACTTCTAAAATAATGTTGAGAATGGGATAAATATGGCATAATACCATTACCTTGGAAACAGGAGTATTTCCTTTCAACTATCACCCATCATCTGTATTTACTATTTTAAATTATACTGTAAACTGTTGTTGGAATTTACATGCAGTCAAATTTTTTAAATAAACTATACTATGTATCTATTTATGTGTATCTATATCTATAATATTATGCTCCGGTCGGTGTGGCTCAGTGTGTTGAGTGCCAGCCTGTGAACCAAAGCATCGCCAGTTCAGCTCCCACTCAGGGCACATACCTGGGTCACAGACCAGGCCCCCAGCAGGGGTCATGTGAGAGGCAACCACACATTGATGTTTCTCTCCCTCCCTTTCTGCCTCCCTTCCATCCTGAGTAAAAATAAATAACAATAAATAAAATATTTTAAAAATATTAGTCTGTCTAGAAGTCATCCAGCCATGTAATATGAAAAAAAAGACATTTGTTGAAGAAGATACAAGATATAAGGAACATTGTACACATTTTTAGATAGGACAATGATGCCTCAGTCCCCTTCAAAGTAGGCATGTTGGGACCTCACACAGTTCTCCCAGTCACCATCAGCTTCCCCATAATATTTTCTTGAATCTCACTGACAGTCTGAAATCTCTTCCCTTTCAAAGGTGATTTTAGTTTTTGGAGAAGCCAGAAGTCACAGGGTGTCAAATCTGGGTTGTAGTAAGGCTGAGTCACCTGGATGATTTGATGTTTTGCCAAAAATCTCTGCACAAGACATGGTGCATGGGTGGGCACAGTGTTGTGATGAAGCTGCTGATTACCAGTTGCCCATAGCTATGACCTTCTGAATCATCTGAGTAGTTTCCATGGAGAAATATTCAAGTTTAATGCAAAATTTGATGCAGATTCATTGCTCTACTCACTCAGTCATTTTGAATGCTATGGCCACACAGTACATATGCTCACTCAACAGCACCTACTGCCCCCACTGACTAGTACAGTGAAGTCATCAAAGTCCACTCTCCTTGGCTGCTAGGTTACATTGATGTTGCATGAAAACTCTTTTCATTATATTAACAGTGCTGGACTTTTTTCTGGACAGACTATATCTATATAACTATATCTATATCTATCTATATATCTATCTATACAGAGAGAGAGAGGAGAGAAAGAAAACCTTTCATGTATATTATAGGTTTTTATTTGAATTAATACAATAAGATAAATTACTTTCGTTAAATGATTTGGAATTTTACCTCCAATAATTTTTTGTAAGATTATATAGTAATATCTTCTAAAGTGCTTGAAAACTAACATTAGCTACTTGTTTTAGCTTTTCTTTTTCTGTTTTTCTACTGTAATTTTATACATGTTATGAATAGAAAAGATACAGCTAAATGTTCCCTCTCCCACATTGATCTGTAGCTGTTTGTATTTTATTTCTTGTCTATGTGTTTGTTAATGTTCTGGGAATTTTTGCTTTATGAATGAATTCTTGTGTATTTTACAGTCTTGACTGTTTTTTATAGGGAAACCATACTTAATTTTTTGATATTTATCAAGCTAGCCAAAAAAATAAGTGTATTAATATAGTTATATATATCAGCAAAGAGAGCTTTTTAATAGAAAATATGAACTATCTAACATACAATAGCACATCATATTGCTTCAGATATTTTACCATTTATTCTGTTCTCATCTGAAGTATTTTGGATTACTTAGAATTTTTT